ATATATATATATATATATATATATATATATATATATATATATATATATATATATATATATATATATATATATATATATATATATATATATATATATATATATATATATATATATTATTAATAAAGATCACGGCGTTTCTTACAGTACTCAATCTATATGATAGTTTCTCGATTCTTCGAATAATTCTCCAATCTACCAAGCTTAACTTGTTAATGCTATTAACAAAATTCCTATTTACAGAAGATGCCATTATCTACATGTATGCATATAGTACTATTTCGACTACCTAGTCTCGTCAGTGCAACATTATAATAAATTTTACATTTTTAAAGTTTTTAAAATTTCAAAATTTTTAAAGTTTTAAAATTACTAAATTATATATCCTATATTATCCTTTTTACAAAGAATTTAAAATTAACACTTTTATAATTTATAATTTTAATATTTTATAATTTTTCTTGGGGGGGGCCTCCCCCCAAATGACGCCTCTGTCCAGGACTCACCCACGAAAAAAACATTTGATTATCCCACTAACATACATGCTTGCTATTGAACAACACGAACGCCTTACTATTACGTTTAACAGCCTCATGTTCTTGTTTGTTGTGGATCATTGAATTTTCAAAACAAATCTAAGTTGTTTGATATTTTTTTAACAAATTGTTAGTATCTTTTGACAAAATTGTTATTCGTTTATTAATTAATTAATTAATTAATAACAAATAATCGAATAAAATTAAAATGTAATATTTCAAGTGAAACAAATTTTTTTTATAATAAAAAATTGAAATGAGTTTTGGTTTATTCAGATTCGGGTGTTTCAGCCGGCGTGTCCTTGGGTGCTTCACTGCAAGAGGCATATGAGTAGATGTTGGAATCTTCTTGGTCTTCCATGATTTTGTCCCAGTTGACCACGGGGTTTTTGTTTATGTAGCACTTACCACCAGAAACCTGAACGACGTAGCAGATTGCAGTGTCCACACAAACTTTTTTGCAGTCGTCAAGAGCTGTCTTGTCGTCGATGGCTACCAGCTCGTCTTCCGGCAGCTTCATTTTTAAGTAGTCGTACCAGCAACCTCAAATAAATTGTAAAAGTTAAAGTTGGAATATTTTGTTTGATGAATATTGTTTATTCAGTTTTTATAAATTCTTCTTGGTTCTCTAACAAAATTAGAAAGGCATTATTATTTTGAACTGTGTTAAAAAATTAACAACTTGAAATTTAAGTTCAAATAAATTGAAAAGTTAAATTTAAATCAAAAATTGACATTATTCGCTGTCATAACGTGACATCGCCAAACACAAACTATAGCCTACCATCACCATTGACCAGCTGCAGAGCAACCAGCATGGCACAGAATGCAACCAACTTGACCATCTTCGTCCTCAGTGTTGTTGTTCTAACTACTTCAACTGCTCAATAAAAACAACTCAATGTTTCATGCAACTATCCAACAGCTATTTGTAGTGCTTCAAATGCGCGCAATTCAGTGGGTTCTGATTTGCAGCGTTTCAAGTGCGTGGTGTCACGAATTGCATTTACACACATATGTGTGTATATATATATATGCGCGTGTGTGTGTGTATGTATGTGTGTGTGTGTGTGTGTGTGTGTGTGTGTGTGTGTGTGTGTGTGTGTGTGTGTTTATACAACGTTGAAATTGTGTGTGTGTGTTTATACAACGTTGAAATTTTGATTGCTGATACCCCGCAGATAAAAACATTTCACAGCATCGAGAGCAAAAGCAAAATATAAATGGCCATCCAGGATGACGTGGATGGGATGCACTACGAATCATATTACGTAGGCGAGTCAATAACATCGAACACTCGTGAAATATTAACATGCAAGCTTGCTGTTGAACAACTCACAATCGCAATCAACAATGTCATGCAACAAGATTATACAACAACATAATTTTTGAAAGAAAGTCTGCTGAATATTGAACGACGACACCCTCAATATTTCAACAAAATGATCCTCACAGATTTCTATTCGTGTACAAATTGAATCTCTTTAAAGTTGAATTTGACAGTTCTAGTATCCGATACAAAATTTTATATGAAAATTAAAATTCATCTCTTAATTTAAACATTTTCAGGTATAATTACATGAAATCAATAGTAGAAGCATTTTAGAATACTACCGCTCTGTATATAACGTGTATAACAGCCCATAGCAGTGACGCCGAGACAGACACTTTTGTTTAAATTACTTATATTATGTGGAACAGGTTTTCAAACACATTGATTAGGTTGACTACTTAACATGATGCCGCCAGGAATTTGTTGTGTGCACGCTTTTGTACATTTCAACATATCATATACATTTTTAACTATCTATGTCTTCTGTATAATTTTTTAACACTTTGTGCTAATTTCAGTTCTTAGAAAATTGAAAAAACGAAAAATTTGGCTTAAAGATTTATTTGTTCTTTTATATTTTTTAATTAATTTAATTTGAATTTACAAATACTTGAAGGAAAGTTAGAAATATATATGTTTTTAAATTTTATTTTATTTATTTATTTTAAGATATATAAATAAAATGGAATTTCTATTTATTCAGATTCAGGAGTTTCGGCGGGTATCTCGGCGGGTGTATCTTCGCATGAAGCATATCCATAGATGTTCGAATCTTCTTGGTCTTTCATCAGCTTCTCCCAGTCAACTTTAAGGTTTTTGTTCATGTAGCATTTGCCTCCGGAGATCTGAACGATGTAGCAGATTGCAGTGTCCACGCAAACTTTCTTGCAATCGTCAAGAGCTGTCTTGTCGGGGATGACCACCAGCTCGTCATCGGGCAGTTTGTCTTTTGGGTAGTCGTACCAGCAGCCTTAAATGAATTGCAAAAATTTAAATTGAATTTTTTAATCTTAATAATTAAATATTTTAGATGCTGTTTGTTTTATCAACTAAATTATGGAAAGAAAACCATTGGCTGCATTCGAAATGAACGATTCAAAACTTCAATAGAAATAAATTTGACAATTAAATTCTAAATAAATATATACAATGCACATCATGCGGCAGAAACACATTGCGAAACAGAAAAGACAACCTACCTTCATCTCCTCCGCTGACCAGCTGCAGAGCAACCAGCATGGCACAGAATGCAACCAACTTGAGCATCTTCGTCGTTAGTGTTGTTGTTCTAACAACTTCAACTGTTGAATAAGATCAACTCAATGTTTCATGCAGCCATTTAACAGCTATTTGCAGTGCTTCAAACGCAGGGAATTCAGTGGGATTCTTATGGAAAGATACCACGTTTTAAGCGCGTTTTAAATGAGTTTGTTTATTTAACGTATTTACATAGTACCACAATAAATTCACAACAAGATCAATATATTTGCGTCAGCCATTCTTGAATGTTTGATTTTGTAAAAATTATTCAGATTAACTATATCTCCGCGGAGTTTGTTGAAAAATTTTCACTGGCAGTCAGATTGCTGGCATTATGGTTGGGTCATGCGAATCAGACTGCCAAACCTGGCAGAATTTGGCAGATTGGACAAAACAGAACGATACAAAATACTTGCCAGTTTAACGAGACAAAACTCTACACAACAAAACTTCATTTTAGCACTCTATATAATTTTGAATACGCCATACAAGACAGCTGGTTTAGATTTGTTGTTAACACTGTAAAGCAGATTGTAATAAATTTATTGCTTTATGAGCAGCACCAAGCCTTCATACTTAATTTAATCACACAAATGTTCGCTTACACATACTTACATAGACATAACAGTGACAAGACCATGCTTTGGAAATTTTCAAATAAGGAAATAATTTCATGTACAATTTGCTTTGTGAACGTTAATCAATATTTTATCAAATTCATGCATCCTTGAAATCAACATTTTGTAAACGCTGACCATTTTGTTCAGCTATTTTGATTTTTCAGTTTAATAAGCATTTAAATAAATTACTTTATTTGTTTATTAATTTGTTTGTTAATTTGTTAGTTGACAAATTTAACAATATATCTAATATTAATCTTTTATTAGGAACCAATACAATTCAATTTTATCAAGTGTTTTTAATTTGAAATTTAATCACCGACTGGCGATTCAAAAAAATTAAGGTTCATGTTTTTTCTCGTTTTTACAACAGAATTTATAAATTTTAATTCGTTTGTCTGCATTCAGTGAAACATATTTTCTCTCTTCATTCATCTGTGGCTTCATCTTCTTACGCGTCTTCTTTCTCAGCCGCGTCATCTTCCTTGGGGACGTCATCTTTCTCATCGCCACAGGATGCCAGGTGATACTGCGTGGAGTCTGTCTGGTCTCTCATCACAGCATCCCAGTTGGCCTCCGCATTCTTGTTCCTGGAGCAGACGCCGTTGGCGACTTGGAGGACGTAGCAAGCGGCATCGCCATCGTAACCCTCGCAGAACTTTTTACATTCGACAACATCTGTAAGGCCTGGAATGACCTCCATCTGATCTTCAGGCAGTTTCAATCCGGCTTCAGTGTACCAACAACCTGCATTTCATTTTTGTTAGTGATATAAAATGTATTTCGTTCAATAGCATCCTACAGCAACAGAAATGTTGAAACCCACCTCTGCCATCGTAAGCCTTCTCACCGCCTGCATTAGAAGATTATTTGCATTCAGTTAGTTAAAACATTATTTGTTTTCAAGTATATAATTTTAAATTAATAAAATTCATGCCAAATAATATGAAATAAATTAACGTTGCCATTAAATTGAAAATGTATAAGACGCTTGTTAAACTTTCTACCCAAAAGAGCAAGCAGTAAATAAAAATGAAGTGGTTAACCGTCAGCGGCCAAAATGATTTGGACGGAGAGCAGGAGCGAACCGAGAGCAACCAAAGTAAACATTTTCTTCTTTGTTGATGCTAGCCGGAGCGTTCAAACAAAATTTTATTTTAAAAACTCAATAAGAGCTTTTTAAACCCTTCACATTGCGGGGGAAATATAAATTCGAAGCAAACTTTCTCCGCTTACCCACCTTTTTGTTAAACGTATAAAACACAGTTTGATGAGCCCACTCACTCACACAGGCAAACACGTACAGATGTATATTCATATACATACATGCATGTGATGTGAACAAAAATGCGAAGCTCAATTTTGTTTGCTCAAGCCCCACAGATCCAAACATTTCATTGCTACTATGAAATATAAATGCAAACAATAACGTCGACTATGCATTTGTTACCTGGGAAAGATGGCACGCATATTCGTTCCTGGACGAATTTACCAATACAAATTCATTGATAAAATCGCAACCGAAATTGTTGTAATGAAGCATATTTTGTTGGCAACAATCAATTACAACATCAAAATTGTTTTATAAAACTTTACATTTAATCAGTTAGCTAACCAATAAACCAGCTGCCAATCATTAAACAACTTTTTTTCTTGAACTGCGGCACTTGATAAGAAACAGCTGTATTCAACCGTTAATAATCAACACAAAATTACAGAGCGCATGGGTTTAATTTTATACAGTTTAATTCACAACGAATTTCTAACTGACGTTACTGCTCAATTTTTTAATTTAGACCAATTCGAAAATTTGTTAGTTCTCTCATTTCAAAATCAGCATCCTATATTAGGAAAATTTTTCAGATTCAAGATTATTTCAACAAATATTCATTCAGAAATTCAACACAAATATTATAATGTATGATCATAAAACTGACATTGTTGTTTGATTGCTTTTCGTTGTCTTTTAATGCTATTTTGATATAGGCATATATAACTTACGTTTAAGCCCATTATTTATTTTTATTTATTTATTTATTATAATTGATGTTTTTTGTATTCAACCTCAAGCCCATTCTAATCCCCTGACCTCTGACCTCTAACATCTATGGATGCAGAAAACTTTTACCACTACAAAACCAGTGAGCAAGAATCCTTATTTTTCTATTTTCAAATTAAAGAAGCCTCGTGTTAAAAGGTTAAAGGTTAAAGTTCGTTTTCTTTTGTGCCCCTGCTTCAGAGGTTTCAACGAAAAACATATATTGGAATGTAAAAATATTATTTTTTAGTTTTTGCTTATTTAACATCGACATGGTTTAACCGATTCAACAGGAAACAACATGTTGTGATGTGAAATAATTTTCGTTGCAGGAACCAAATTTCAAATTTTAAAAAAGATCCCATGCGCGCCAGCCACTCATTTTTATGCTCGATATATTGACATTATTTACGTATCAGTTTTAAGTATATTTTTGATTTTTCAGTTCAGAAAATAATAACAAGATGAAAAATTCGATTGCGAGATTTATTCGTTTACTTGTTTATTAACATATTTATGTGAATTAATGAGTCGTTAAATTAAAATTTTTTAATGTTTACAAATTTTAATTAATTCAAACAACGAATAAACAGAAAGAAATTTCTGTTTATTCAGATTCAGGTGCTTCTTCGGGCGCTTCATTGCATGAGGCATACGAGTAGATGTTCGAATCCTCCTGGTCCTCCATGATCGTCTCCCAGTTGACTTCGGGGTTCTTGTTCATGTAGCACTTGCCCTCGGAGATCTGAATGACGTAGCAGATTGCAGTGTCCACGCAAACTTTCTTGCAGTCGTCGATGGCTGTTTTGTCGGGGATGACCACCAGCTCGTTTTCAGGCAGCTTCATTTTCAGGTAGTCGTACCAGCAATCTGAAGTAAGAAATAATTTAGTAAGACTTAATTAATTCGTGAACATTGTTCTTGCTGGTTTGATGTTAATTATTATTGTCCGTTCATTTCGTGAACAACTTTCAAAAAATTAAAATTCACTGTCGAAATAAACGTAATCCAAAACTTTAAGGCTAAATTAAATTAAGCCATTCATTAAAAAATCATTTGTGGCTAATGCACACGCAAAAATAATTCAAGCAAAAGATACAAACAAATGATACAACAAATACATACAAACAAATGATACAAACACATACAAACAAATACATACAAAGAAACAAATACATACAAAGAAACAAATACAAACAAACAAACACGCTTTGCACATGACAGCTACCTACCATCTGCCGTTACGACAACGAGAACTGCAAGGAATGCTACCAACTTGAACATTTTTGTCGTTGAGGTGGTGAAAGTGGCTACTTCAGCTGCTGATC